TGCTCACTAGTAATTTATAGTCTTTCAAAGACTTCAGGTTGACATAAAGATAAAGAGTTAGGATAATATTATATCCCTCTAAAAAGCCACATGAAATAAAATGAGGTGGTTTTTTCCTCAGTGAATAAATCGCACATCTTTCAGATCTCCTCCATCAATAATTCATATAAAGTTTTTCAGCACATTTCTTCCACCACCCCCCCCAAGATAAGATTGGAAGAATAAAACAATGTAACAAACCCAAACAAACCCTTATCACAGACATTTCATGTTCAGTGAACATTAAACACATGACAACCACCCAAAACAACCAAAGAAAATGCAGACTTCTATCACATAGCTCTATTCTGTGTTTTTCAAAAGTCCATTCATGAGCAAGCAAATAAGAGCAATTTCCCCGTAAAATTTCACAATCTTCTGCCCTGTCAGTCCACTCTTTTTGTGTTCATAAACAGTATCTAGATCTTTGCCTCTTCACCTGCATGAATTCAGCATTAAGCATCTGACTTCATTTTCTCATGCTATACTCCAATGCTTCCACTGCACCCTATAGGGATATTACTGTGCTGCTTTTCAAGCGCTAAAAATAAAACAAACACATGTCAACCCAAGGACAAAGTTGGAAGGAAACATACTTTAATGTAACCAAAGAAGAATATATTTAGCATTATGCTACTAAGCAAGGATGAAAATAAACTTGTCAACACGTCACTGTGTCTAACTGTGAAGCCCACGCCCCACTCAATTCTTTCTGTAGCATTTGTTATATATGAAAAGTGGATCCAGTCTTCCTTTCTTAAGAGTGACTGTTAGTGCTCTGTTCCTACTGCTGGCCAGAGGGGGCCTCTGAACTGCAGCACTTCCATATTCTTAGGCAGTCAGTTTATCTATCAATTAACAGTAATGTGGCCATCTAAGGTGCATTTGAGCAGTGGTACCTATTAGACTTCAATCTGGAATCCTTCCAAAACCAAGTACAAGCTGAAGTGGGACCTGGCATGCCATTTACTCCACAGAAAGGAACGTGAAACGTGAGTCCTAAATCAGAATGTTGTTTTCTTCTGTATTTTTTTCATTATTATTATTATTATTAATTTGCGCTCTCCATAAAGCAGCACTATCTCTGTGAGCCCAGAGATGAATGCTTATCCAGAAAATGTGATTATATTATTAAATATTGCCTTTGAAGCAAAGGTATTTTTTAAATGAACACCTACAGTTTTAATATTCTGAACTATTTGCGCTTATATTTTTACACTGGGAAAAGAAATATTACAACTATATACATTGGACTTTATTTTGGAGATCCTATATTCAGATTAAAACTGATACTGAAGGTAAGAACAATTGTGCTTGCTTTCTTTAGTCCTTTAAAAACACAAAACCAAAAATTTATTCTGTTATGTTACGGCTTGTTTCCTGGTGTATGGAATTCAAGGCAAGAGCAAAAATGTCGATAAATGAATATAAATTAATGTGGTAGTATTCTAAAACTGTTTTGTACAGCTGTACGAACATTAGGAGAGAAGGCAAGGAAGAATACCGGGAACAAGCAAAAAGCTGGAACTAACTCCTACAGAACCTGCACATTCCTTTATCCACCACAGCGGAGAATAGAATCCAGTAGACCAAGGCACTGTGGAACTTCCTCACCTCAAAAACGAGACTTCTGGCTCCAAGAGAGGTGCTACTGTGGAACAGGAAGATTTGCTCTAATACCCAACAGATTTAAAGGTTGACTACAGTACATCACAATGTTTTTTCTCCCGTATCCATTCTCAATTACAGATGATTCTTTTACCCATCAGCGTAGTAGACATCAACGAATTCCATTCTAAATTTCACATTAATATTTAAAATACTAATGTATTTTAAAAGGTCTCATTGGTTCCAGTAATCTTTAAAGGAAGCTCCTAATGTCTGCAAAAGGAGTAGTTGCAAAGTACCATTCTGGCAAGGGTTTAGGTAAGCGTTAATGGAGCTCTAAAGAGCTTCCTCATGCTTAATAAGGGCCATTTGAATCCTGCTGCCAGAAGTCAAATGGCCCCAATTAACTTCCTAGGTGTGCAGAAAATAAAAGTGAATCTGAAGCAAATATTCTAAAGTTCACAAGGGAAAACCAAAATCCAGCTAATATCTCCCAATACATATGCTATGGTACTTGCAGTGAATTTCCTTAACAGTTGAAGGCATCTTTCCAAATAAAATGAACTCCCACTATCTTCATACAGACTCTAGCCTTCTTTTAGGAAACCATGAGTATGCTCTCCCCCCTCAAATCATTATAGTCATTGTGTCAACTCTAGATGATGGAAATATCTCATCAAAAAGGTAGAAGACTGATATAAAGCCTAGCAATACAATTAAGGGTCTTAATGATTTAGGATTGGCCCAAAAGTCACAACACTTCAAGGCAGTAATAACACTCAAAATTTCATGAAGGTTTGCAGAAACCTGCAAATACGAGAAATAAGCACTGTTGATTTCAATAAGCTGTCTTTACACTGGTAAAATTATAGCGCAAAATCAAGAAACACTACTGGCATATCAAAAAATTATCTTGCAACATCTTGGTATGTTTATTTTTTAAGACAAGACAGAAGCTTTATAAAAGCAAATGCAAGGTGGCTTGGGAAATGTTAACAATTTCTCCATTTCAGATGTTAAGATTTCATCTCAATTTTCTTGGTTTTCTAAGGATTTCCATCCTTAAATTAATAACGTGTTCTCAATTCGTATGAGACATCTGCAAGTATCTTTTAAATGCAAAAATGCTCCTTAATACAACATGAACACATAGGGAGAAAAAAAAAACAACCCAGAACATTAGAAAATGTGGAAGTTCAAGAAATGACTCATTTGCCATATGTATCCTACAGAGATTTTTAAAACTTATAATAAATATCCACAGATGGAGACTCAAATCAAGAAATTATATTTCAGTCTTTCTTGAGGCTGACGACTCAGAGCAAGCACATTCGACAGTCAGCATTAGTCTGCCACATTTCACCTTCAAATATATATATATTATGGCTTACATTAACAACATACCATATTATAAAGACCTCAGAAAAAAATATAACTATACAAAAGATTGTAAGATGGTTTAGTGTCTAACTGCTTGTTGACCAATTCATCTCCTAGTTCTTCAGACTTGTCCACAACTTAATCTACACCACCTATTTAACAGTGTCAGCTTTGGAAGAGCATGGAAACAAACCCTTATCTATTTATTTGCAAACCTGAGCCTCAGATTACTAAAATGATTGCTAGATTACTGGAATAATTACCTAATAACTGCTGACAGGCTTGATCTCCTGGCCTCTGCTAACACTCACAAACAAATCCCTTCAGAAATACATGGAATGTATCCAAACCATCAGAAATCTGGAATGGGGGTAGTTTTATAAGTAAAAAAAAAAAAAAAAAATTAATAACCATTGTTCTAGATGTTCTTGCATAATACTGCCAATACCTACCGGTAAAAACACATTCTTTCCTTATGAAAGAAATTACATACTTGGTATAAAATAGCTCATGTAATTTCCTGAAACTTTGTAACATTCATCTTCAGAGAATCTGGCTTCAAAAGTAATACTTCCATATGTCAGTGTAGACATGATACTTACTCACCATGTAAGAAAACCCCTGGCATGATAACTGCTTCTGTCATTTTTTGTTCCAAGTAGCATTAACATATATCCTATTTCTATTAAAAACTACATTCTAGTACTTAAAACGGGCAAAATTTTCTACTGATACCAAGTCACTGTATATCTTGAGATACTCTGTAGAATTTGGGGGATAACCGATTCCCACACAGAAAAGTGCTTCTAGCCTTTCAACTGTGAAAACAACCAGCAGGACTTCTCTGAGTATTCTTTAGATAGGTACCAGCACACCCATACATAAAATTAATGAAGGATTTAGGCAGAAAAGTATGCTGAACCAGGGGGGATTTGCTGTTTGGGTTGGTTTTTTTTTGAGAAGGCATAGTATCTAATTTTGGTACTTAAACCACAAATACCTAAGAAAGGCACAAAAGCGATCAATATTGAAACCTTAAGTCAGTTTCACAGAGCTCGGCAGTATGTTCAAATTCCAACATCAATTGCTTTCCCCTTTTGCTTACGATTATGTGTGGTTTCAACAGCAAAAAAAAACCCAACCAAACAAACAAAAAAAACCCCATGCAAAAAAGATCCCTGAGGGCTTTCAACTAAGCGCAGCAAGTACAGAAAGATATTTGACTTGCATCTCCAGAGATTTAACTCGTTCTACATTTTAGCTTAGACGGGGTACCACCGCCAACAGACGAGCCCATTTTAACCTTAACCGGCTCCGAAGAGACCCGGCCGTGCGTGCGACACGACCTGCACAGACGACGGACTCCGCATCCGAAATTTGGGAGGGGAGAAGGGGGAAAAGATTAATACCTTTAATGCTGAAACGCCCCCTCGCTCGCTCGCCGTCCCTCGCCCTGCCACCCGCACGCCGCTCCCCTCCCCTGGCAGCACGGGGGCTGCCCGCCGCCTCCGGGACACTTCCCGCGGGGCCGCTGCCCGCCGGGTCCCGCACCGCAGCCCCGGGCCCCGCCGCCGCCCCAGCTGCAGGCCGCGGGACCGGGGGCTGTCACCGCACATAGCGCTTCTCCGCAGCCCGCACGCCCTCGGGCCCGGCACCCGAGAAAAGCAGTGGGGGCTCCCAGCCCTTCCCCCGCCCCGGAGCATCGCCCCGGAGCATCGCCCCGTACCGGCGACAGACCCCGAGGTCCCCAGGCGAGACCCGCACCCCGCGGGTGACCCAGCGGCCCTACCCGCTCCCCGCAGCCCCCAGGCCGGGCTGCCCTTCCCCGCCGCCCCTCCTTCCCGGGCGGCGATGCTGAATCACCACGGGTAGCCGCTCCGCCGCCTCTCCCCGCGGCCGGCAGCCTGTTCCCCGCGGGGCAGCGGGTGAGGAGAAGCGTCGCCGGAGAGGGCGAGCTGCTCTCTCTCCGTTACCTGACAGGGCGGGGGAGCGAGAGGCCCCCGGGCGCTCCGGTCCTCCCGGGAAGGGCGGGGGCAGGCTGGGCCGGGCGGCGCCTCACGGGCGGCGCAGCGGGGCTCTCCCGGTCGGCAGCATCCGAACCGGCGCCTGCCGAGCCGGGGACTAGCGGGAGGAGGAGCGGGAGGTTACGGCGGGGAGCCGGGAAGAAACCATTCCCCGCGAGGGGGCACCGCCGGCGGCCGGGCAGGCGGGGCGGGGAGGACGGGCCCTCCCACACAGGTACGTGCGAGGAGAGCGCCTGGGGGAAGGCGGGCGGTGAGCGCGGAGCGGGGCAGGCGGTGCCGGCGGCGGGGGGCAGCCCCCTCCGGGCCGCCGGTGTCCCCCCTCCCCTTTCCGCTGGGGGTGGGAGCGGCCCGCGCTGCCTGCCCGCCCGGGGACGCGAGCCGAGGCCCTAGCAACCGCCAACGGCACCGCGGGGCGCGCTCCCCTCAGGGCCGGGAGCGGCCGCTTCCCTTCGGCCCCTCGGAGCCGTGGGGGCGCCCGGGCTGGGCTCCGCCTGACGGAGGAGCGCCGCGGGCCGGGAGGGCGCTCCTCCCCGGCCTGGGAGCACCGAGCGAGCGTCGCCGTGAGGCGCGGGAAGCCTGTCCCGGCGCCCGCAGGACTCTGTGGCGGCGGCGGGATGCGCCGGGGCCGGTGGAAGGGCCTGCGGCCCCAGGAGCCGCCAGCGGCTGTTTGGGGAGAGACCGCGGCTCCTGTCGTCACCTGCTGCAAGACGCGGGTCTGTGCTCATTTATACCCCTTTTCACACCATTATTATTCCCCCCCCCCC